AGGTATTTGACTTTCAGGTATTTGACTGTGTCATCATGGTGGGCAGTTCCTCTCGATTAAAAGGAATGTGGAAAGTTGAGGACTGCAATGCACAAAAAGCTTTTATTTGTAAAAGAAACATCGGTGAGTGGAACTCTTAATAGAAAAGCACCAGTTATCAGACTGGAGTATTTCATTCATGTGTATTATAACTAACAGTTGATGTATCCTATTCACAAAGATCCTCAGATTGTAGTCCCACCCACCACTGTGTTACCAAAGGCTTTCCAGAAGCTCGGTAATGATTCCTACAAACTGGTGGCCCAGAAGATGAGATGGGACGAAGCAAGGAGGCAGTGCCAAGCAGATGATGCCGATCTGGCCAGTATCCTAGACCCGGTTGCTCAGTCCTACGTCACATTACAGATTTTCAAGCACAATGAACCTCTGTGGATTGGTCTCAACAGCAACGTGGTAAAAGACTTGGCCATTTATTTAGATCTAGTACAGTATGCAGATGGAGATCTTGAGCTGGACTGAACACACGTGTCTTACCAACAGACAGGTGGTCGTTACAAGTGGGTGGATAACTGGATGCTGTCTTACACCCAATGGGGAACAGATGAGCCTAAAAACAACTATGGCTGTGTGTACGTAGATGTGGATATGAAATGGAAGACAGCACCATGCACCAACACCTACTACTCCCTTTGCAAGACGTCACAAGGTCTGTTGCTTCTTTTGCACAACTAGCCATAAGACAGAAACAGCAGATTCTGTAAGTATGATGTCATGTCCTGCCTCTATTACAGACATTGCTCCTACTGAGCCTCCACAGCTTTCTGGAAACTGTCCAGAGTCAAAGAAGGAAAAAACCTGGATACCTTTTAGAGGCCACTGTTACTCCTTCCTCAGCTCAAAGGTGGACAACTGGGCTCATGCATCAGTTGAATGCCTGAAACTTGGTACATTTTCAAACTTGTTCAATTGTAGTGTTTATGTTGACGCATTAAAATGCTTCAATGTTGTTCTGGAACTGTGGCCACCAGGTGCAACCCTGGTGAGTATTCAGGACCCAACTGAAGGTCAATTCATACAAAAGAACCTAGAGCTCCTGCAAGATGGTGCCAAGACCTTCTGGATTGGTCTCTACAAGACACATGAAGGTGAGCGTGGCTTTGCAATACTGGTAACCTCTAATTTAACAAGTACAGAACGTACAATAATAATGCGTTTGTCCATTGTGTCAAACTCCAAATACAACTAATTTGCGAGAAAACCGTTTACTCTAGAACTTATTTTGTTGCAGGCGAGTGGATGTGGATTGATAACGGTGTTGTGGATTATACCAACTGGAAAGCAGGGATGCCAAAATCAGACACATGTGTGGACATTAACTCTGAAAGTGGACAGTGGAGCACCAATAGCTGTAGCAGATATAGGTCGTACATCTGCAAAACACCAAAAGGTAATTTACATCTCAACTACATGGTTATTTTTATTCTTCTAAGTGTGACTTACATTTGTACCTATATTTCAGTTGTTACTCCTACAGAAACGCCTCCAGCTGTCGGTGAGTTTTCTCTTTATCTGAAATATCATTTGCATTTGGGCCAACTTTA